ATATATATTATATAACAGGCAGACTAAAACCAATTTTGACTAACCTTCAGGGACTAAGAACCTATTATTTTATATAAACATAAAGACAAATCAAATTTTGACTAAACTTCAAGAGTGAGATTTAAATTAAGGTTAATATCACTTTTCATCCTTTAATTTAGTATTTTAGCAATATTTGACTTGACACGTTTGATAAAATGGCAATTTTAGTCTCACGAGTTACGAAGGATGAACCATCCGAGTTTTAAATATGTGATGACATTGCAATTTCAGATAGAGAAATTTTGCAAAATTGGACGATTTGTGCCTCATAAGCATTTAACGTGACATATTTTTTTACAGGTCAAATTATTTAATATAAAATTATTCAATATTTTGTTAATGTATTTCATAAATTACCAATTATTAATTAATTAAGTATTCAAAATTTTATATTAAATAATTTAATTAGTCAAAAATAAATAATTAATATCACATCAAATCTTTATGTAACACAACTTTGAAGATGGGTTAGTGTTGAGATTAAAACTTCCCGTTATTTTTTAAATGTATAGAACAAAATCAAATAATTAATGTGGGAACAAAATGATATGTGCACTTTAAAGAGATTAAAAGTGAAATTCAGTCTTAAAATTATTTAACGTGTCTATCTTTTCTTTTCTTTTTTTTTTTCTTTTTTTTTTCTTGTTCACTAACAGTTGGAATGTAATTCTCTTTGAGATGTAAAAATAACTAAAACAATTTTTGTCTCTCTCAAAAAAGGTCTTCTCTATATAGATGATGAGAGAATAAGGGACTGAACCCTTAACAATATACTTTTAATAAAAATAGTTATATTAAAAGACTTTTTGGTAGAGAGCTTGCTTGAACTCATTTGACATTTCAGATAATAGTGTGTTATTAACGTTTTTCAAATTTATCGATGACGGAAAATAAGAGTGTATTATTAATGTTTATATTCAAGATTAACAAGTGTTACGATGCCAGTAATTAAGAAAATACAAATTATAAAATTTTTATTGCAAAGTAATTTATTATATAAAAAATGAAAAAGTAAAAAATCATTGATAACACACACTTATTAACGTCCAAAAAAAAAATTACACATTCTTTCTAAATTAGTTCCTACTATTATCCAGTCATTTTTAAAATCTTTTTGTTTTGGTGTCAAAAACAAATCTTTTTTATTTATTAAAAGATTATGCAATCATTTTAGATGTTATTTGTAATTATTAGTGATATTATATTAATGTGTGAATTTTCTAAAAAAATTATATTTTAAAACAAATATTATTTATTTACCTTTAAATTAGGGATGACAAAATGGATATGAATCCTATAGGCACTCATAAAAATATCTTCATGTAGGATGTGTAAATACTTATTTATATTAATATATTATTATTATTTTAGATACAAGTTAAAGTTGTTGGAGTACTTTTTTTTCTAAACTTTATGGTAGTTCATCTTTAATTGAAATTAATAATATCAAAAAAATTATGTTACTCATTGTTTAAAGAGTATTAAATCGAAGCTAAGAAAATAATGGAAAGTTCAATTTTACAAGCAAACCCCAATGAGTCAAACTTAGATAATCTAAATATTAATAAATTTTTTTAGTGATTATGACTCATTTGTGAATAATACAATTGAAAAATAAACAAAGTTTGAAATAGAGTTCTACTTGGAAGAAAAAGTTTTTCCTAAAAGTGCTACTTTTTACATTCTTATTGGATGGTGAAAAACAATTGGGATCAAATATCCAATATTGTAATAAAAAAAATTACTGAGGATATTTTAGTAATCCCAATCCCAACATCAAAATTTGTATTTAATACAAGAGGAAGATTTTTGAGTCCTCATTGTTCTAAATTCCATGAATTTACTCTGGATGTATTTATGCATGCACAAAGTTGATTGAAAGACAAACAAGGTAATAAATAATTAAACCTTGTTTATTTGATAAAAGTTTTATTTTTTTAATTGTTGATTTAATTATTAATTTAAATTGTCTAATCATTCATTTTTTTGTCACATAATTTCTATTGATATTACTAGAATAAAACAATATATAGATTTGAAAGACAAACATTTGCAAAAAAAAAAAAAGTTGATTCTAATAATGAGGTCAAATGTGTACATATTTATTTTTTGAAATTTATAGTATATAATTTAATCTATAATTTTAATCTAACTAATTTTTATACAATTTTTTTCACATGTCTTGGAGAATATTGTTAATACATAATCATGATATTGGAAGTTTAATTACAACTTTTATTATGTTAAATTTTTTTAAAAGTTTATTTGTAAGTAATAAATGTTTTGTATTTTTTATTTATAAGAATTACTATGTTAAATTTTTGTAATATTAAATACCTGACAAATTAACATTATCTTTGCTTGTGTGAAATATTATTTCTACATTGATTTATTTACTTTATACATAAGGAAAATGTGGGTTGCAGGTGTGGGTATATGGATACACAGGTACCCAACGAGTATGAAGATGGAGATTAAAATTGTCACCCGCACAGGTATGAGCATAGTTTTAAAAACCAGACCGGTCATCAAACCGGTTAAGGTACTGGGTCAGTGAGTTAAAGGTTAATCCGGTGCGTCACTAATTAAACCGCATGACTCGATTTTTATTATTTTTTTTAAAAAAATATTCATGTTAAATATATTTTATACTTATAAATTTTAATAAATTCATATCTTATTTTAAATTTCAATTTTTCTATCTTATTTAAATTTATTTTTATTTTTATTTTGTAAAAAATACATAAAAAAAATTACATGTTAAACTATATATTAATACAAATTAAAAATAAAAATAATATGTACATATATAATATGCTTGCAATTGATATCACAAAATAATATATGTAATATTTACATAGATATTATATTATTAAATATATAATTTAAAATTAATAATATATTATAAAAGTTATTTAAGTTGTATATATTACAAACAAATATATTAGAACAAGTAGTCATTATTATATTTAATATGACTCTTTGCTCTTCTATTAAGAGATTCAATTTTCATTATTATTTTTGTGGTTTATGGTTCCTTAAAAAAATTAAAAAAAAAAAGTGTGGTTGAACCGGTTTGACTCACCGGTTCACTGGTTGAACTAGAAAATTGACCGGTTCAATCCGGTTTGAAACGGATCGACTACATAACTGATCTAACTTAAGATTCGGACCGGCTAGACTACTGGTTCCCGGTTCAACCGGTCTGACCGGCCGTTCGATCCGATTTTTAAAACACTGGGTATGAGACCGAGTACAATTATTATTTTTAAACATGGGTATGAGGATGAGTACTATAAGACCTTATGTAGACCCTACCCATCGTCATCCCTACTTCAAATGATCGTTAAGGACCAAAAATAGTAACTTTAAATTTTAAAAGAACAAAAATTAAGAAAACTTTTTCCTCATTTTACAAAGATAAAAAATAATGTTTATAAATATTAAAAAGATAAAAAAAAAAAAAAACAAAAAAAAACAAAGATTAAAATATATAGAAACGAAAGTAAAAAATTAGTCATTTATATATACTAAACATATTAACCCTAATTTCTAATAGCCAGCATATATATATAGTAGTTGAAGCACCACCCTTTGCCTCCATCTCACTATTGAAAACTTGGAGAAGTGTTTCCCAAAACTAAGGATATGAAAATCCTCTATTATTTTTCTGTTCTCCTACTCGTTCTTTCCATTAGTTTTGGTATGCATTGCCTCCCACAAATCAAAGATATTTGGTTTTAAATAGTAAGATGTGCTCTACAATTTTGGTTCTTTGACTAATGTCTAAATAATTTGATATATCTTGTGTTGCAGGAAATCAAATTCAATTGCTGAAGGCAAAAGATTGTCAAACCATGTTTCATGACACTCGTTGTACTTCAAAAGGTGTTAATTGTGACTTTGAGTGCCAGTATTTTCATGGGAACTCAGCAAAGGGAATATGTGATTCAATCGACGAATGCAATTGCCATTACAAATGTTAAATTGTGTGTGAATTGCAAGACAGTGAATAAAACAACAAAATAATGAAAGTGGTTTCGCTATTTCAGAAATCTTTCCAAAATGCTTGCTGTATATCAGTTCTAAAGTTAGAACTTTCATAGTAGATTTACTCCATGAACTTGTTAGCATTTATATAGTTCTACCTATCAATGATTAATTTTGAAGGTCGATCGACCATATATTAATGATATAAGTAAAAAGGACAAATATAATTCCACGCTTGTTGTTGCCACTTCAAATAACAATTAACATTTTACCCTTGATAACTATTATTATTTTATCATTCTCAATAAACTACTTACAAGAATACGATATTCAATTAGAGAATACATTACTAACAGTGCCAAATCTTTGTATGTGAGTTCTAAACAAAATGGACCACTGTTTGTTCTTGTTGTTCAACGTAAGTGAAATTTTTAGGGGTGCTAAAAATGTTAGAATTGAATTGAGAACTGAAACACTAAACTATAAAATATGAACCATTTTGATAAAAAAGCCAAACTGAACTATTTTGGTAAAAAAGAAAATTGAACGCAACTATTTGTGAACTATAAAACTGAACAAAACAGAAGTATCTTAATTAGGTAAAAGTTCTTCTAATTTTCAATCTTTCTTCTATTTACTAGTGTTAAACAAAGTAATTCAATTTGGTTCAGTTCAAACAATTTAGTTAGGTTTAAGTTATCTCTTAACATTAATTTACGTACTTTTGATTTTATGTTTGCTTTGGAGATGGAGGCTGATGTATCTTTTTACCGTCTTTCCTCTATGTTTTAATTGATTTCTATGATCTCACTTTACCCTTAATTTCTTTCAAAAAATGAATATTAGAGCCCAATTTGAATTGAGAAAAAAAAAAATCACTAAACCAAAAATACAATTCAGTATAGTAATGGCTTTGTCAGTTCTATTTGGCTCGGGCAAGTTTTTCCATTTGAATTCTATTGTTGCACAATTCAATTTAGTTCACCTTTTTCCTTCAACCAGACCTTTTTGCTTAATCAGTTGCTAAAATTTTCATTCGTTCTGCTCATTCTATTATCTTTTTCTTTTGTTGTTTTTTTGTTAAAAGAACTATCAATGCGTGTTTATTATTGAGTTATAATTACCCATACGCTGTTACTGTAAATTTTTTTTACACTGACAACTAATTATATATTTTAATAGTGTTATATCATTTATTTATTTAATCAAATAAAAATAAAATAAAATAATTTTAAAAAATACGATTGGTTGTCAGTATAAAAAACTTTACACTAACAGTATATAAATGATTAACTCTTTATTATTAATCAAACAATCAATGTGTGTTTACTATTTATCAAATAATCAATATGTGCATTTATTTTTTAAAAAAAGAACATTAATGTGTGCTTATTATTAATCAAATAATCAATGTGAATTTATTTATTTTTTTAGAAAAGGACAATAATGTGTATGTATTACTTCCTTTATTCCAAAACTTTGATTTTTCTAACTTTTTCGCTTTATTTCATAACGTTATTCTTTTATGATTCTAAAACATTTTTGTGTAAAGTTTTTTAATTATACCATTACTAGTGGTCAAGACACTTTGTGTCTCTATGTATTTTGTTTAAAAATAATATAAAATTAAAATAATAAAAGTTATAAAATGTAAATCAATATTTGAGATAATATATAATTAGAAAATAGTAAAACAATCTTAAACAAAATTAAAGACCAGGTGATTACAAAATAAAAGAGTAATTATTATTGATAGGGTGGCTAATTAATTTATTTTTGTACATATTTCTTTTCTTCTATTTTACCATTAAAAGATACAATGGTGGTAAAATATATATATATATATATATATATATATATATATATATATAACAAAAAGGTACAAATGTCTATAAAATGTGAAAATCAAATGGAAGTATCTCATTAAATCAAGTAATTGGAGTAAATGTCTAAAAAAAATAGTATAGATGTGTATAATTGAGTAATTAAGATTAATTTAAGTGAGCCTTAATGTTATTTTCAATGGAGTATTATGTTTAAATGAAATCAAGTAATTGGAAATATTGTAAAAACTTATAAATTAATAAAGTAATTTATACTAAGTGTAAATAAATCAAATGTTCCTTAATCTTTGCATAAAAAATTATAAGATGTGACACTCTCTACCACACATGCCATAAGCCATAAGTAATAAAATAAACTGAATAATATGATTTTCATAAATCAATCAAAAGGTATAGAAAGTGTCATATTTTTAACTTAACCAAATAACATAATCAATGAAATTATAAGGAAATAAAACTAATATTTTTCAAAATAATTCAACATAACAATATACTAATCTAGTCCTAGTTATGCCCCGATGTCACATGTTTTATTAGAACAATATTCCTTCATTTGTTTGTTTGATCTATAGTCCTAAAAAGAACTTGAATTTACCCACCATACTCATTTCAAACTCCTTTTGCATAAGCATATAGAAAAATTTTCATATAAAGATTCGTTAGTAGCACCAAATATAATTTCAATACTACAACAGAATATGTGTCAAAATGATCTTTTCTAAAAAGGAATGTGTTAACTTTACCTTTTATAAAGCCATTGCTTAAAAGAAAGTTTCTTCATCTTTCATACCAAGCTTTAGAAGCTTGTTTTAGACTATAAAAATCCTTTTTTAGGTTGAAAGCGTCATCTCTAAAATTAGGATTTTCAAAATAGGGAGGTTGTCTTACATAGACTTCCTCTTCAATAATACCATTTAGAAAATTTCTCTTTACATCCATTTGAAAAAGTTTGATGTCTTTATGAGTTGCAAAGGATAACATAATCCTAATCGTTTTAGGCCTAGCAACAGATGCAAAGGTTTCACTAAAATTTATACCTTATGCTACAAATTTAGCTTTATTTCTTACCATTTTACCTTTTTCATCTTACTTATGTCTAAAGACCCATCTAGTCCCTATAATACTCTAATATTCCATATTTGGAACAAGTGTCCAAACATCATTTATTTCAAACTGATGGAGTTCTTCTTCTATAGCTAGAATCTAGTTGTTGTCTTTTAGTGCTTCCCTATCATCTTTGGATTTATATTTGAGAACATAGAATAAGAAACATTGTCTTTGAAAGAAGACCTTGTTCTAGCACCCTCATCCCTATCTCTTAGGATTTGACCTTGTGGATGATATTTTACAAACTTCCAATCTTTATGAGATTTGAATGTTTCATTTGCCTGATTTGTTTGTCCTTTGGTTTATTAGATAGTTTTGCTCTTTTATCTCATTTTCCTTCTCAAGATCAATTTGCAAATATGAAATTGCTCTTCTAGATCTAATAGTTTCCTATCAGTCATGAAAGCATCATTAAACTTAATTAACATGGATTGATTCTTCAATAACAGAGGTTCTAGAGTTAAAGATTCTATATGCCTTTGAAGTATTTGAATATCTAAGAAAAATATTATCCTTATCCACTTTGAAGTCAAACTTTCCTATTTGATCCTTAGGGTTTAGGACATAGCATTCACATCCATAAGAATGGGAGTATGATATGTCGGGTCTTCTCTCCCTCCATAATTCATAAGGAGACTTGCTTAATATTGGTCTTATTAATATTTTATTTTGAATGTAATAAGTAGTGTTAATTGCTTCTGCCAAAAAGTGTTTTAGTAAAGAATTTTCACAAAGAAGGGTCTTAGCCATTTCTTATAAAGTGTGATTCTTTCTTTCAACTACCCCATTTTGTTGAGGTGTTCATGATGAAGAGAAGTTGTGAAAGATGTCATTCCTTTTGCAAAATAGTTTAAAATTAGAATTTTCAAATTCAGTTTCATGATCATTCTAATAGTAGTTATACAAAAACCTTTTTCATTTTGAACTTGTTTATAGAATACCTCAAATACCTTGAAAGACTCATGTTTATGAGCTAGAAAGTATACCATGTGTATCTAAAATAGTCATCTACAATGAGAAATTCATACTCTTTACCTCCTAAACTCAAAGTTATAGTTGGACCAAAAAAATCCATAAGTAAAGGTCGAGAAGTGGAATAACCTTTTTAGATGTGAAAGAACTTTTAATTTGTTTTTCCTTCTGATAGGCTTTATAGAGAAGATGAGTTTTCCAACAAATTTTGAGTAGTCCTCTTACTAAACCTTTCTTGTTTAGTTTAGATGTAATGACCCGACTGGTCACTACACACAGCACAATACACCAGAATACCACACAGAAACGAACAAGTATATACATATAGTGTCTAGAATATATATATATATACAAGGTCCAAATCTGGCTAGAGTTAGAGTGCACAAAATACAACCAGCATCGCTATACTAAATAGCTAAATACTACAAAATAATCAAACGCCATCTGCCAGCTGCAGACTCTCCTCAGCACACCAACCTAACCCTGCTCTGCTCCCATACATAGTATGATCATCGTAGTCCAAACCACATGGAAACAACAAAGGGTAAGCTAGTGAAAAGAAACAACATACATATATAAATATATGAATAGTAAACAGCTACAACTATCAGCACATCAATCAGCTTAACAACATCAACTTAATATATATATATCAGCACACCTCTCACATCATTCAGCAATAACAGCAGTAAACAGCAGTACACAACGGTAAACAGAAGTAAACACACAATGCGTCGTCACGCATATAAGTTAGTATTGGTCGCTTGTAAGCGGTATAGCTCGACCTGACCCCTATACCGTGGTCGCTTTGTACACGTGTGCCTCGACCTTGCCCACACACGGGACCACTAAGAATCTAGAGGAGAACAACAAGATACCACTCCAAGGGTCAGCTTTTCAGGAAGGGTTTTCAACAAATTGGGCTCGAAGAGCACCACAGCCGTTGCATCCACACAATGGGATGCGGTAAATTTCGAAAACAACTCCTATAGTCTTAGTGATCAACAGCTCAGCCTTACGGCCTACAACAGCTCCTATCAGCATGGAGCACAACACTGCATAGCAGCAATAACAGCACCGCATAGCGGTAATAGCAGCACCGCATAGCGGTAATAACAACACCATTCAACAATATACAGCACAGCACAGAAAATCAGCATACAACAATAGCGGCTTACAGCACAGCCAAACAACCTACAGCACAGCAATA